GAATCGGAGCTCGGATGCTTCGGCACGAAATTCGTATCCGCGGTATTCAGGACAACGAACGTATCTCCGGATGCTCCGAGCGGGGGGGGGAATCGAGAGGAGGTATTACGACATAGCTTGTTTCGAAGCACATCGCTGCTGCTCAGATAGACATTTTTCCGTCGTCTTTCGTTCTTTGTGCGTCGCATACGAAGGAAGCATCACGGGCAACGGCGAGTCGCGGATTCCCTAAGACGAAGGAGGCAAGCGGGCCGGGGGCAGGAGGGGAAAGAGTCATGTAGGTCTCCTGGTCGGTTTCTGCGTACGTCTTCGGGCCGTCCATCCCCGTATCTGTAGATCCGACCGAAACTCTATTCTTCTCCCCGTCGCTTCGTCCATCCGCCACCGGGCCGGCCGTCCGTCCGCCCGCCCGTCTACGGGGTCGCTTCTCCATGTCAGAGTGGACGACGACGTCGACGACGACGTCGACGAGGTGATGGTAGCGGCAGCGGCGGTGGCAGCAGCGGTTGGGACGGCGGCGAAGGCGGCCATGGCAGCTGGAAGAGGGAGGGTTACTCGCTGTCCTTGTGCAAGGGAACGGAAAGGGTCCATGTCTAGGAGCTTGGTCGGGCGGGCGGGCGGTCGAGCTGGCTGGCTGGCTCGTTGGTAGGCAGCAGAGGAGGGCTTTCTATACAGTAAGTGAGTAGCTTACGACTGTGCTGCTGCTGCCACTGCTACAACTACGACTGCTGTCGAAGGAGGCCGCAACGGATGCGACTAGTTGCTACCGTTGCCGTTATCCCGAAGCGACGCGGCATCTTTCAGTAGGCAGTAGCTCGTTGTTCGTGAAGAGGAGCGACGGATATCGATGGTATCCATCCGTCGTCCTCGTTGTGTTGTGTGTCAGATGGTTTGCGGGCGAATCCAGCAGCGATACGCAGTTGCAGCTGCAGTGGAACCTTTTGCATGTTGTTGAACTGTCGACGTAGCCCTCAGTGAACTGCAAGTGCGAGCAGGCAAGCCGAGGAACTAGCGAGGAACTCGCTGGCCGGCCCGATTCCCGTACAGATCGCGAGGAAAACAAAGGAAACAGGAGGAAAGTGCAAACTCCTCGAAAGAGTATAACTGTTCTCCGGGCTCGATCTCAACTTGCAACGAGACCCGGCTGTTCGCCGTCGTCAACAGGCTGCCCGAGCTTCCTCGGGCCGATTGCAATACGTCCGAGAGGAATTGTTGTTCAAATTCACGTCTCAGTGCTCAGTTCGGTGCAAAATGAATAATCATCGGCGCGTCGATCACATGCCGGGCAATCAGTGTCGGAACGTGTTCGCATTGTTTTGAGATCATCGCCGACTACGGATACAACATCGAAGACTGTCGAGCAGAGGAATACACCGATCGGGACTTCCGAGGGAGGAATACGCTCCACACGGAGATCGAATGAATGCGGCACGAGTTCAGTGTGGGAACAACACTCACAGCCATGAAGTTGCACCAGTTCACTTGGAACAACACTGACAGGCTCGAGGCTGCACGTGCCACATGCAAATTTTCACTCTCTGACGAATCGTAAGCTCACGGTGATATTATCTTCCTCCCAGAAGGAAAGGCTGAGATACGGGAACGCGAAGATTCCGTCTCTCCGAGAGTCCAGACCTAGTCGGAGGACGATGGGAGCAAGACAGCGGAACGCGCCACGAAGCCGAATCTCTCATCGGAGCAACGTAATCATCTCACGGAGAACGCCGTGTCGACCGTCAACAATTCGTCGTTCCGTCGCCTGTTCCAGGACCTGTGATTCGCTTGTCAGTAGATTTCCGAACTCTATGATCGCAGCTGTCCCGATCGTCGTCGTCGTTGGTGGATGAACGAGGTGCTGGTGTTGAAGTTCCGAGCTGCCGAATAATCCGTCGATCATTCAGTGTTCCCCTGTGACTCTCGGTGGGATACGGACGCTCGTTTTCTGAGCCGTAAACTGATCATTAATTCACTCTTCAACCTACTCACTCGGTCGCTAATCCCCGACACGTGTTTCTTCATTCGAGCCCATATCTTATTCAGGGTTATGGTCACACAGTTATTCCATTCGGAAACAGTCGACTTGTCGGGATTCACGGTTGTGGGCAAACGACGTCAACAGCAGCGCTATCACGACTACAGGAAGAGTGATCCTTGAAGAGTAAATAAAGCTCTCTCGACCAAAGCGAAAGTCTTACGTTGCCTCATCGCGTCTCTGAGCCCAAGAGGAAAGCAGCGACAAGTCCGCGGATCGACATTATCCGCGATCGCTTGACCGGGTAGACAAACACCGACCAGTTGTGATACCGGAGCGACGACGACGACGACGACTAGTTGAGCCGGAACGGGACAACAGGAGTAGAGGCGGGCTGCCGGGCTGGCGTCACGATCCTCACCGAATCGCGGTCCTCGCTCTCTCTCTCAGGATCTATGAAACTTCGGTTCCGTAATCATGAAACGACGGCGACTCCGACGATGAGCGGCGGGAACCCCATGCGGCCTGAAGCGGGCAACCAATCGACATCGAGAATGGAGAACACCGAAAGTATCTTCGAATGTTGTTAGTGTTTCACTCGAGCGACATGTGGTTGAAGCCAAACGAGATGCTCCCTTCCTGAGGTGGAGAGATCTCGGAGTGCGCCGAACCTCATACGAAAAGTGTCGAGGCTAAGCTGTCGATGTTCTCATCGTCGCGTGGGAGACGTAAACAAGCAGAGGAGCGTTCACGCCTCTTAGAGCAACAGTACAACATACCCTTGGAGCGGAAGCTGCGGAACTTAACAAAAATTTCCTGCTCCCGAGGGAATAAATTCCCTTGAAGGCGACTTGGCCGGCAGAAACGGAGGAAAGCGAGGGAAGAAGGCAGGCAGGCAAGCAAGCAAGCAGGACGGCGGACACGCCGACGGGCAAAGCGAGCCTAGCGCGCGTGCAAACGAGCGAACGAGCGAGAGAGTAGGTAGCTGTTTTTGCTGCTGTTTCCTTGACTAACATCGGTGGAATATGCAAGCGATATTCGCTGTTTGCTTTCGACACTGGCAGCAAAAAACTTCTGAAGCGAGAGACACAAAGGAAGTTTGTTCGCCACATGCTGTAAGCGAGTGCCCCGCCGATCTCCGACTCGAAATCTCATTGACAACACCGACGACAACAACAGCCGGAGCAGCAGCAGCGACCAAACACATAAGAACGCCGAAGGTAACAAGGAGAAGAAGGAGAAGAACCACAACAACGACAACAACAACAACAACAACAACGGCGACATCGACAACATCGACGACAGCAACAACGAGCGATGATTTCGCTGAGCGATTGAACAGCGCTACAAGCGACGCTAATGCTGCTGCTGCCTTCGCCGCCACCGCCATCGCCGCTGTTGCTACCTTCGCCGCCAAAGCCGTCGCCGCCACCACCATCGAGAGAGAAATCTTAGCTATCTTAAGTTGATTGATATCGCCCTCGAGAATTGATCGGACATAGCCGAGAAGAGGGCGCGAGCAAGTTCTGCTGTTAATCAACGAGTCTTGCCGTTGCCGCCACCGCCGCCGCCACCACCACTACCACCACTACCGCCGCCGCGCGTCGCCGTCGTCGACAGAGTAGAAGAAGCAGCAGCAACGACTACGACATGCAACAGTAGCAGCAGCTTCCACGATACCTGTCGGCGCACTCGTGCCGTGGAGCTCGTTCTTAACATCGATCATAAGGCTGCCGCTCCAACTTGGAGCCACTTCATCCATCAGTCAGTCGGTCGCTCGCTCGGTCGTCTTCGTCGTCTCCGTGCATAGTCAGGACGGTCGACTCGAGTATCTGCACAACTTCCGCTGCACAGCCATCTAGGCGACACTGCTCTTCGGTGAATTGTTATTTGTTTGTTGTTTATGATAAACGACCAAGGGCCGGCTGGGTGCTCATTATCGAGTCCTGAAGTCTATTCCAAGCTTCGACGTTCAACGGCGGACTTCACACTCCCGTCTAATCTTCGACGAAGATAACCTGCCACGGGCTGAGCTTGTACCTCCTGCCGAGCCCGAGGTTTCCGAAGCGGAGTGCGCGGGAGACCGTACGACGACTTTAGGTCCGGACCCCTCACAGCGTCCGGCCATCCGATCTGGACGATTCCGGAGTTGCTCGCGATCATATCGACTGCTTGGCTGGTGCGCTGGCCGGCTAACTGGTCCACTGACTGACGAGTGGCAGCGGGCTGATTCGACGAATGGTCGGTTGCACCCCTGCTTAGTTAGCTAGCAGGCAACTCGGTTGGTTGGCAAGCTGACGGGCGGACTATCCCGCCGCTGGAAACGCAGGTCGACTCGCGAGCAAGCGAGCAGGCGGCCAGGCAGGCAGGCAGGCAAACGGGCGGGCCAGCGAGCAAGCAAGCGAGCAGGAATCGAACGGAGCTCCGGCTGAGAGAAAGCAGATCGTAAGGAACGAGCGCACTCGAGCATCAGGGCAAGCATGGCATCCTGACCAGCTGGTGTTGCCGGAGTTCGAAACAATTTCTTCTCGTACAGCGAATGCCTACGTAGACGTCAGATCAAAAAATATGCCGCGAGCAAGCGAGCGACAGAGACAACACCAGATCAAACTGAAACGCAACGATCGAACGAACAAACAAACAAAAGAGAAGCGGAGAAGAAATGTTGGATGACTACAAAAAGAATTCAAACGTCATGTGTGAGCTCGCCTAAAGCGCTGGCATGGATTTGCTGACGGCAAATAATTGCTGAGGCCGACTTAAGAACGTCGAGCGACGGCGAGCGCTTCTCAACGGGACGTTCCACGAGCCGGAACACCCAGAGCGGATCGGTCGATCTCGATCAGACAGACAGACGAACGATCATCTGGGCAACGTATCCGCGCCGTATATTTTTTCAAGCAGCCACAACTACCGCAACTATTGACTAACGAACTGACTGACTGACTGACTGGCTCACCGACTCACTCACTCACTCGCTGACTGACTGAGACCAGGGATTTTTTCTCGCGATTGCCCGGCTTCCACGATGATTACCGCGGCGACCTCATCGTCTCTGAATCACTCATTCGAATGGGACGATGAAGTGGCCCGGAGCTACGAAGAAGGACTCGGCTTCGAGAGCGGCAGCGACCCCAACAGCAACTACACGATACCGGGACCATTTGCCAAAACTCCGGAAATAGGATTTATTGTGACGGCTGTTCTTGTTACCCTGATCATGATCGTTATCGTCGTCGGCAATATGCTCGTGTGCATAGCGATTGCCACGGAGAAGTCTTTGAAAACAACACAGAATTGGTTTATAGCGTCGTTGGCAGTGAGTGACTTTCTCATCGGTTTGCTCATCATGCCGTTCTCGTTGGCCCGAGAACTGATGGGCTACTGGATTTTCGGTGGACTTTGGTGCGACATACACGCCGCTCTGGACGTTCTCATCTGCACCGCATCAATCAACAATTTGTGCTTGATATCCTTAGACCGTTACTGGAGCGTGACGCACGCGGTCGAGTACCTGCGAAAACGAACCGCGTCCCGCGCCGTTGTGATGATATGTGGAGTGTGGCTACTCTCAGCGCTGATTTCCCTACCGCCGTTGATCGGCTGGCGGAAAAGGTCCGAACAAAAGAATTCGCTGCCGCAGTGCTCAGTGTCCGAGGATCTGGGCTACGTTTTATACTCGGCTCTCGGCAGCTTCTACGTTCCTGCCGTGGTGATGGTTTTTGTCTACATCAAAATCTTCATGGCCGCTCGAAAACGAGCTCGCCGAGCGATGGAAAGAAAGAAAACGCTAGCAGCCCGAAACAAAGCAGCTATTGCGGCGACGCAGCAGCCGTTAGCGGCCCAGCACAGCGTGGCTTCTTCATGTGACAACAACTCGTTAAGACGACGTGCAGGGTGCGAGAAGAAATTCTCCCCGCCTCCTATCGTTATCGTAAACACTGAGGTCGAGGAAGGATCACCTGAATCCGATGCCTCGAGTCCGCCCATATCACCCGACGGAGACACTATGGGCGTTTCGGCTCTGGAAGCTGAACACCACCTGCTCCGGCACGCCTCGCATCCTGCCAACCTCACACAACTGGCGCAACAACACGCCGATACGAATATGTCCCAATTGGCATTGCAACACCAACAGCTCGAAGCCAAGGCCAGAGCACAGAGACGCGCAACTACTAATTCCAGTAGCAGTGAATTTCCAGCCGACAACGCATCGTCATCGTCGTCTTCTGAAAATCACCAACAGCAGTCACAAATGCCGCCCCCGACGCAAACGCCGTCGGAGCAGCAAGCACAACTACCGAAAGTAGATTGCCCACAAGAACAACAATCGCAACAACAACATAATCAGCAGCAGCAACCAACTCCACATGTTGTGACCCTTCAGACTGTCTCGAATTCCGGTGTTGAAATGGATTCGTTACGACCTTTGAGAATGCGTCATTCAGAGTCGTGTGGTTCTGGACTCAGTTTGAGTACACAGGAATATGGAATTGAGGAAGGCGAGACGACCAACAGCAGTTCTCATCAATCCTCGGTGAGTTCCGACATGCACTCTTTAGAATATGCGTCGTCATAAGTTTGTGTTCGGCGGCGACGGGGGAGGGGAATGGGGAGGGGACTTGGGGAGGGGAGGGAGGCTGGGGAGAGGAGGGGAGTTGGGGAAGGGCGAAGTATACTCGACGACTTCCTCTATCCAGTGAGGAATACTTCAAAGTGACCGAATGCTCGCGAGTGTAATTATTCGGTCAGGGCGAAATGAGTTCTTCCCGGAACGCACGACTACGGGACAGCGTGCAGAAACGATTTGTTTCAAAAAGTTTTGATCAGCGGAGTAGAAAGTTAGAGCCTGGATGGCTGGTTTGCCTACTTTCCATCTCGGAGTCTCACGCCGTTCTCGACACTATCGGAATATTTCCGGAGAACTCAGGCGTGAATCGGCTGCGCAATATCGGGAACCTTGAGCCGGAGAGCCGTGTGAACGTCTTTCCCCAAGTAAATTTCCGAGCGAATATCGAGCCCGAGCCTTTTGTGCTCCGGGACTTCCGTCGCTATGTCTCCGCCATGTCCTTCTCAATTTCGTTCAGTCCGACATGAGCCGAGCGTCACTCACCGCATTTCTTCTATTGCACGGGCGTGCCCGTCTATTTTTCAAAACCATCCGCAGATGCCCCTTCCTTTTTCCGAGCAGGCCGTACAGTACCGAATCGAGTTAATATTTTCCTCATTTCAATACGGCGATCCACACGCTCGGCTGTCCGTGAACTTCATATGGGGGAAATGCCAGAATTTCTCGGTCCGGTCCCGCGCTTCTGAATATATACCTTTGCGTAGTCGGAACATTACGAGAATATATTCATTCATATCCGTTCCACAAACCGCTTTCCCAGCGGGAGCCCGTCTATTCCCCAGCTGCTCGGCGTAATGCCCATCATCAGTTATCGGCTGTGATCGTCCAACATATCGGGAGAGCTCGTGAAGTGCGCGTTGTGAGAACATGCCGCCCGAACGGTAGACGTTCTTTTCCGGCAGGAATCCCTGTGAGGTTTTCCGTCACGGTCTCCACGACGGCTCCGGGAAGGATGCGCGATCCCAGCTGCTGAGAGAATAAACTCGCACGTATCTATGAATCTGTTCTCTGGATCCGTCCCTGGGAAGACCTCAAGTTTGAGGAAACCCGAGACAAGACAGTTCCACTTCTGCCGCGGGGAGTCGGGAACGCTCGACCATCAAAACTTATGGCTTCGAAACGCTTTACCCGAGGTTTCTGTCGCCAGAGGAGTCCTCCCGCAGCGGCTCTATACCGTCACCGAGTTTTCATGCCCTCTGCAGATAATCGGGTGTATGACACCAAAAGAGGAGTTGGCAGTTGGCTTGCACAAATTGTGGATGAATCCTCGGAAAATCGAAAGCGTCCGGATGATTATTCCCCGTCGGACCGAGTCGAGTCTCGAGTCCCCTCTCGTACTTGAGAGTGCGAACACTACAGCGTGGGAGCTCTCGCGACCGGCTCACATACATATCATGTAGATTCTCTGGTTTTCACTCTAGCCAGGAGGATTGTCGCCAAACTTCCATTTCCAAAGAGCTGATGGAAAATGGTTCCGGTGTGGTCACCGGTCCTGAAAAGCGGACGTTCGCCCTCGTCCTGAGCGGTTTCCGATCCTAGGATTTTTCCTGATTCCGCTACAAAAACTTCCGAGAGCGTAATCAGAATAACTTAGACCGCCTGTTTCGAATCTCCGATCAGGATGTGGGTGCTTAGCACCATGAGCGAAATCACGCTTAACTAGCCGCTTCCTCGAAACCCTGCGAAACGCTGGCGCGGAGAGAAGGATTAAGTCCCCGTGCTGCTGTTGCTCAGAGAGACGTTCGGAAGATCAGGTTCACTTCAATTTTAATGAGCGCTCTGAGGATTCGACTTCGGAGCGTAATCGACCCAGGGGAAGGCTCCGACTGTGAGGAGTCCGAGTAGCAGTACATATAAAACTCCCGAAAACCCCGACCGAGCCCGAAGGAGTCGTTGGACGATAGGAACTCCTCCTGGAGTGCTTTGGTCTCGATCCCATTTAGATTTCCAACGGGGAAGGACAGGTGGGAATTTCGGACAGCCGCACCGGATTTCTCGAAGATTTTTTGATCGAGCCGCGCTCCAGTACCTTCTGACTAAGTTGTCGATTTCGCATCGAGCTCGATTAGGTCTCTGGGGCTCTTCTACAACGAATGTTGGGCTCATCGAATGCCGTTCCGCGAACAATAGACAACAATATTCCGCTAATCAGGTCTGAGACACCATCACGCGCGACGTCATCTCAAGCTTTCACCATGGGGACGATTATTTATTCCTGAGCCGCACACGAGTCGGCGATTTTCCATGGATCGAGCCGTGGAGAGGTAGCCTCTTACTTTCCGGCTATCATCGAGTGCCAGTCCGTCGAGAGGCCGGGGGCAATGTGACCAGTGCTTTGCTAGCCTGAAAGAGGGAATCAGATCTCGCGAGAGCTCCGATTTGTGAATGGCGTCGGAGGCAGTCCCAAATCCGATAATTGCTTGGTCTCCACAGAGCAAAATAGCTCGTTCTCTCCGCGACGGTGAACTGCCCCGCTCGTGAGTGCGGAAAATCGTTCGGAAATATTGTTGCGATAGCACATCGCCGATGTCGACTCCCGCCTGCGATTCAAGAAAGAGAGAAAGACGACGACCTGGAGCGACCTCAGTGCTGATCAAAGCGAGCCCGTCACTTTAATGGATGAATTCAGTCTGCCTAAAAATCATGCCGACAAACATACATCAGGATCTCCCGAGTCGGAGAACTTCTCAGTTTTTCCCCGCGCCGTATGAGCAGTTTCGACTGCTCATGAAGATCTAATAATCGACGACTTGTCCTGGGAGCTGATGATTTCCTGCGAATCGGGTGGTCGAACGATAGAAGTCGAGGCTCTCGCTCCTGCCGGGAAGGTTTTGTGGAGGTCTCGGAATTGAGTACATCGCAGTCGTAATGTTCAGAGCTCTCCTGCGGGAAACGATCCAGTGCGAGCCCGGCGAGGTGAGCCGGGCGAGCTTGCCGGGTTGGCCTCTTCTCGGCGAAGCTCCCGCAGCAAAGATACACAGTTCACTACACGTCCTGTTTCAGCGGGGATCCGAGGCGAGCAAGTGGGAAACCACGAACGCTGCCCTCGATGAGAGCACGGCTATTTATATTCAAGATCGGTTAAGCCATCAAAGGTAGTCGAGCCGCTTGAGCGCCCGCGAAGGCGCGATAATATACTCCCTCCTACAGCAGGTGATCGTAATAACCAACAGCAATGATGATGACCACAGGGATGATGACAATCTTCGGAGCAAGCAGCGATCGAGGGAGAGGGGACGGAGGAGGAGCAAAGTAATTAGAGCTCAATTGCACTTCCGTGAGGACATATTCTTCGGCGGCGTTCCTCCCGACACCTTGGTTTCGTGCGCTCAAGTGAACACGCTTTGAGACGGAAAACGTTCGTCGCTCTTGATTTTCTCGCCGCCGTTTGTGCGAGCGGACAATGTATTATTCCGTCCGTAGAGAGTAATTTCGCGGTTTTGGATTTCGTTCACCGAGCACTACTCGATGTCCTCGAGGAGAAATCTCGAGCACTCCGGAACATTCAGGGGCAGAGGCTGCGTCTCAGCCACATACATCTAGCCACGGTGTTGTGGGACGAGGAAAAACTCAGATGATATGCAGATACCCACGCGGAAGAAGCGTGATCAGCTAGACTCAAAAGACCTCTCTGGAGAACCTATTAGCGTGTCAATGGATTTCGGTGGATCGTTGGCCAGGTAAACAGAGCTCGAATCACTTTGAAAGAGAAGCTCGCGAGATTCCGGGAGACATCAGCTCCAGAGCTTGTCTTCGTCACGAACGAACACAGCCAAGCAGAAAAAAAACGCGGAGCCTTGCACGGCAGGCACACGATTCTCAGAATCTCGCTCGTGTGGAAACTTTTCTCCGAGCACGGTAGCCCCCGGGATCGCGCTTCCCGATAGCCGGGCTGTTGGACACTCCGGAGAGAATGCCGTTCGCTTTCGCGAGCGATGTCGACTCACCGTGAAATTCCTTCAGAGTTCGACCGCGATTGGACGCTTCGATATGATTGAGCGGGCCCTTGCGAAGTCCATTCGGAGTCCGGCTGACGCCTCCCGTCGATCTTTCCGCCGAGCTCGCCCTCTGCGAGAGTTCCGCGCGCGGAAAATGTTAAATAAGCAGAAGACTCAGGAACTATTCCTCCGATTCCGGAAGGCCGACGAGATTGCGCCTTCGGACCGACTAGCGGGCTGACTGACTGTCTGGCTGGCGCTCGGGCAAGCACCGCGAAGACTCGGCCGGCACGCGGTCGGACTCAGGAAAAAGTCCTCCTTCCGATTCTTCCCAGATCCCGCTCCCCCATCCCCCTTCTCCCGCCTTGAACAATCTTCCTCCTCCTGTTCCATCCCGCTGCTAAAACTGAGGAAGAAATAGAGAAGGAATGGGGAGGGGAGAGGAGTGCGCGATAGGCTGCCGACGCTACCAGCAGCTGAAGGAGTGAGGACAGAAAAGGAGAGGAACATTGGAGGAAAAAGGGAACGGGAACAACGGAGGAACGTCAATCGGAGCCCTGTTGAGCTCGAGTACTTTTTTCGGGGAAACGAGAAACCTAGAGAAGATGAGCCGCTTCAGATACCCGTATGATACTGAGCCCAAGCTGCGAGCTGAGAGGAAAAAACGAAAACACCGGGTGGTCGTCCCGACGGTCTCAACAGTGAGTTGACTCGTGGTGGAACGAGAGCATCGATTTATTTCATTTTCTCTTCCAAATCTTCCATCTGTCGCGGCGGTCTTCGCACGGCGGGACCCAGGACTCCGGAGTCTGCCCTGATTCGCGTAGGGACCGCTGCCCCACTGCAAAGTTCGTGCCTTATGTGAAAGTCTCTCAACACTCGAGGCCATTTTTTTTTTCGTGATGCGTCGCGTCGTTGTCCGCGTCTCTGTATTAAATCTGTATATCGCCCCTCTAATGGTCAGCGTGT